AGACCCCATTTCGCCTCACGTACGGAACCGAGGCCGTGATACCGGTCGAAATCCGCGAACCGTCCAGACGAACGGAAGCTCCCCTGGACACCGACGACAACGATGGCTCCCTCCGAGAAGAGCTCGACCTCGTCGAAGAAATCCGCGCAGGAGCAGCTCTCCGGGAAGCCCGGCTGAAGCAACAAGTCACACTTCGCCATAACAACAAAGTCATAAAACGCGATTTTCAAACAGGCGACTTAGTTCTACGCAGAAACCAGAAAGACTCCCACGAGGGCAAATTGGCGGCGAACTGGGAAGGCCCGTACCGAGTCCGGGACAAAACGGAGCACGGGGCCTATTACCTCGAAAACCTGCACGGTGAACAATTAGCTCGACCATGGAACGCCGCGAAGCTTAAGCGGTACTACAGTTAACACATTGCCCGCGACGACCCATCGTCCCGACCACTGGGGGGGCGACATGGTACCACCGCACACCCCCGCGTCCACCAGCGACCAAAGAAAAGCAAGCCCTGCCTCTCGTGTGCGCGGGCAGAAGGCCTTGCTCGGCAGGGAATACCTCGACCGAGGCTCCTCGCCGCCGTACCAAAACAGGCAGGACACCCAGCTCGCGATGGGCCGCCCACGCCCCGGGGAAAACTACCCCCGAAACGGCCCGGCTACATCCCCGGCCAAACCGGCCAGTTCCCTACACTACCGGTAACAAATTGTCGAGCTAAACACACCGAGCGCACACTTAGAAAATCTACAAGAAATGTCATACACATCAAAGGCATTCGAACAAATACGAAAAACGAGCATAAAACAACATGCAAATAACGAGCGCACACTTAGAAAATCCATGATAAATATATTTAACAAAAGCGGGCACCAGCCCAGTAGTCAATAGTACAAAAACGAGCACGCAGGCCCAAAGAAAAAGATAAACACCGGCACGCAGGCCACAAAAACAACGAGCACGCAGGCCCGGCAACCTATGCTTCCTCGTCCGCTCGGTCAGCAGCCACGGTTTCCTCCTCGGGGATAACGAGATAAGGATCGATCACCCTCCCATCAACAATCTCGTGGTACGGCCCTATCCCGTCCACGACCAGCTCGACACCAGGGTTGGCGACCTGAATCTGCTCGACCGCGTTCTTGAACCCGACCTCAACGGCCTCCAGACAATCGCTCTCCAACACCCGGATACGGGCGATCAAGTCAGCACGGGTGATTAGCCGCCGATCCCCATCAGTCTCGTCCTCGGCCGGACGAACAGCGCTGTCCAAAACCTCCGTGCGAACCTTCAGCGCCTGCACCTCGGCCGTCGCTGTCCCCAGTTTCTCCTCCAGCGAAGTCACCTTCCCCTCAGCACCCTCTGCCCGTTTCCGCTGCTCGGCAGCATCCTTCTGGCTCTTCTCCAACTCCTCAGTAAGCTTGGCCAACCGCGACTGCGTGAAAGTGAGATCCCCTTGCAGTTTGGACAGCTCAGCAGCGGAGCAGCCCTCCTCGTTCAGCACGAGAGCCGTCGTAAATGTCCGCATCATCGCGGCCAAGTCCTCAGCCAGGACACGTCGACGGGTCTCCCGATCAGCCTGGCGAACAGCCTTCACCTCCCCGGCGGAAACAGTGGGGGAACGGGCACCATGAAAATATCCCGGGTGCTGGTGGCAGGGAGGGACGACATAACCTTCCTCGACGGCGCCGACCGTCAGATCCACCACCCGAGGCTCCTCGGACCTTTGCCTCTTCGACACTCCTTGAGACACAGGGGATTGGCTCTCTTGAGGCGACGAGGACGAAGTTTGCCCCCCGTGCGTCGCGACCTCCTGACCGACCAGCTGACTCACCCTCGTCCTCGGGGCCACGGCATTCCTGGCAGCGCGCAACTGCTTCACCCGCTCGTCGACAGTAGACATGTTCGCTGCAAAAACAAAGAAATAGGTTAGTGACGATCAAAAAACCCCGACCACGAGGGAAAACGAACATCCCTACCTAGATAATCCAGAGCGGCCGCCCCGGTCGCGCAGCCGAGCAAAGTCTTGGTATTTATCAAACGCTTCTTGGTGCGTATGTTCCCCTGGGCGTCAAGGATATACCGACCGTCGGGCGTCACCAGCTTCGACGGGGGGAGTGACCGCACAAAGGCAATTATTTTCAAATAAGCGGCCATGTCCTTCTCCTCGAGGGTCCCCGCCCGGACGATATACCTATCCGTCCCTCGACTGAAATGCTCCGCGGTCCACAGTAGATGTATCTTAGGAAGCCACGCGCGAAACCGCTGGCCATCTACCGTGCGCTCGCCCTCGTCAAAGAGAGTGTCCGAGCCGTGCTCGGTTTGACGAGGTAGAACCGACCTTTGAAGTCTTTGACAGAATCGCTATACGCTTTGAAAATTTTGGTCGATTGTTTGAAAGAGACCCATCCGTGACGACCTCGCACCGTCTGCCGCTGCAAATGAAAGATGCGGAAAAATAACGGCATCGTCGGCTCCACCGAGAGGTAGAAACACACCACCTCGAAAGCCCGGATGAAAGCCAAAGCGTTTGGGTGCAGCTGAGACGGGGCAAGACGCAGCCAGTCAAAAAGCCCCAGATGGAAGGCAGAAAACGGTAACCGGAGCCGAGCTTCTTTAAAATAAAATTCGTACATCGGGAACATCTTTCGCCCGTATCGCGAACAGATCCGGTGGTGCTCTTTCGGGCGGTACACCTGCCAGTGTTGCGTTTCTCCTATCGGCGTGTCCTCGACCGTGGCATACACGTCGGACGAGTCGACCACAAAGCAAGAGGGGATGGAAAGTGGCTCCTCGGCCGCCCACTCCTCGGACGGGGCGATACGCTCGTCGTCATACTCCGGGACCTCGGGTTCATTATCTTCAACCATTGTCCCCGGCACCAGAGCCGACATCTACACCTGAAAGCAGAGGACATCGGTGAATTCGATAGCCAGGATCAAATCCACCCTTCCACCGCAAGTCAAGTGAAAGGGCGACAAAGGCCGAGGAGCGACGAGCAGACATTCACTCCCCGTCTACCCTCCTCGGGGATCGAAGAACGACCCCTCACCCCCTTCGGGACGGCCGTCGGAGAAGGTACCTCTCCCCGGAGCATTCATCAGAAAAAGCCCCCGTCCTCGGGGCATTCATCGGAGAAAAGCCCCCGTCCTCGGGGCATTCATCAGAAAAAGCTCCTGTCCTCGGGGCATTCATCGGAACTAGCCTACCGTCCCCGGGACATTCATCGGAAAACTCGCCAGACGCGGCGGAACTCGCGTCCCTCCTCGGGGCGTTCATCCCGCCCCGACCACACGTTCCAGTTAGACGACGGAAATAAAAAGAGAGGGAAAAGAGGAACTCACTTGTAACGGCGGCGGACGGAAGAAAAGAGCAAACGGCACGGCGGCGATCGGCGGCAAGCGGCGGACGAGCAGAGACGATAAAAGATTAGCAGGGAGAAAAGTAACAGAATGAGCGAGGACCGCCATATTTATAACCCGGCGCGGGATTCGAAGCGACTCTAGGCTCATTAATGACATAGGTTAGCCGCCCCTACGACCGCTTAACACAAGACACGTGGAGGTAACCTGACAGTCGCGTCCCTTCATCTGCCTCCTCCCCGTTCTACCGACGACCGGAGCCCTTCGTGCGAGTCCCCGCTCCAGACACGACGACCTTAAGTCCTCGCTCTTCCCCAGAGCTTCGACTTGGGGGGCTCCTGTTCCGGTATGGGCCTCACCTCGGCAGGCCCAATACCAAATGCGGCCCAACAAGCGAACTGGGCACGCCTGGCACGCGCCCCTTCGAACGAGCAGGACTGGCCGCCGGGCACAAGCTACATCCCCCCGTCCATTATGTCGTCCGTCACGCCGGACGAGCAAGACCACCCGGGCTCCCCTCCGCGGGGAGAATAACGTGCTCGGCGCACGTTCTCCACGTGCTCCCCTCCGCGGGGACACGTCATCGGCCAACCGCCCACCTACCTCCGAAAGAGCAGGTCAAACCCACTTTCCGGAGACCTAGGAGCGGTTGAACTAGGGCGAAGACCACGTCCTGGTCTTCACTACGCCACGTAAGCCCTAGCAGTCATTAGGGTTGGGCCTGGTCGTCCGGCCCACCTCGAATGACCGTTGGCCCAGCGCTGGGGTCTCTCTATAAATACCCTCTTCTTCAAGAGGGTCAGGTAACTCTTCTTGCCCCTTTTTCTGTACTATTGCTTCCTCTCTGTCCAACTTCTTACTTGGGCGTCGGAGTGCTTTGCAGGTACACCCCCCTCCTCTTTCTTACCCCGGCGAACAGATAACCGTCCAGCGGAGTGTGGCCAGTCCGTGATCCCTCCTGATCAGGTCAGATCAGAAATTAAGACAGAATTAGCTGAAGAAAAAATCATAAAGGAAAAAATGCCTTTATTCAACCTAAACTATTGGTTCAGTTTAAAAATATGCTGCAAACTTAAAAGAAAAAACAGAAAAGTAGTTTCTACACTAAATCATCCATCAGATTATTCTTCCAAGAGTACTTGTTTAATTGCTTAAGGTTAAAAATGGGCCACTAGGAAGATGTTTATTACTTAATAATGTGTCAATGAATATTGATATATTGTGTTTACATTATAAAAATATTAAAGATTTCTGTTTAATCCAAGTCTTGTGACACTCATTGCGGTCGCTAAATCTTTCGTGAATTTGAATGGTGTAGGCGTTGCAACGCTAATTGAGACTGAGATTGCCGCAGGCCGCAGCGACGTGAATTAGCCCGAATTTATTTTTTCAAATATAAAACTGTGATGATAGTTGTTGTACTCAAAAAAGGTGATAATTTAGCGACAAAGAATTTGAACAAATAGATCCATAAACTATTTGCTGCACTTATAAGTTGATTAACGCAAAATTCTACCAATAGTTAGCTTTGCTTTGCTACACCATATGAATGAATCATTTGTGGCAGTACTAATATTAAAGAAACTACAAACTGAAAAGTAAACTACTCATAATAGTTGTAGAAAATTGATAATAAAAAATCTAACTTAGATAATGAGGACACATTTGGTGACACTTTTTGGCCATGTCAAGATCCGCCATGACAACTCCAACCATTCCATCTCCTATAGGATATTTCATTTTGAGGTGTACGGTTGAGATCACGGCTCCCAACTCAGCAACAACAGGCATGCCAATAACAACATTATAAACAGACCACGAATCAATAACCAGATACCTCACCTTCATCATCTTTGCATTTTCACCTTTACCAATTGTCGTGTCCAAATCGATGTATCCTTTGATTGGTACACCACCTCCTATAGTACCGTTGAGATATGCTTCCAATGGTTTCAGCATTGACTCCGATAATCCCATCTTCAAGAATGCGGACATGTAGAGAATGTTGGCTAGACTACTTTCATTGACGGAGACTCTTGAAACGATGTTGTTGGTGATTTGGAGTTTGATTACCATGGGAAGAGCAGCATCGGTTCCTGTGAATGTGTGTTCCCTAATAGAAAATGAGATTGGCATTTTTTCTGGTTTAGTAATGTCGCCGCTACCATCGTTCCCGCTAGGTTTGTGACCGTCTTGCATCTTGAATGAGAAAGAGTTAGGTCACTATGCCAAAAATGGCCTTTAGCAGCGCTTTTTTTGACCTTTAGCAGTGCTTTAAAGCGCTGCCTAAAGTGGCGCTGCTAAAGGTAAAGACAACGCTTTTTTTGTGTGGAAAAAGCGCTGCTAAAGGCATCACTTTTAGCAGCACTCTTTTACCCCTTTATCAGTGCTTTACAAAGCGCTGCCTATTCTCCCTCCCCCTCCCCCCCTTTAGCAGCGCTTTATGAAAGCGCTTTTGTAGACCACCCTTCACTACGCCAGAATTGATTTTTAGCAGCGCACAAAAGACAGCGCTTTTAAAAAAAGCGCTGCTAAATAGTTAATAAAAAAAAAAAGAAAAAAATTACCTACCAAAGACAGCGCTTTTTTAAAAAGCGCTGCTAAAAGGGGACCCTTAGAAAGCGCTTTTTAAAAGCGCTGCTAAAAGGGGACCCTACGAGAGCGCTTTTTTATAAAGCGCTGCTATATGTCATTGCTAATGCACCCTATGAAAGCGCTTTTAAAAGCGCTGCTAAAGGCCTTTAAAAAGCGCTGCTAAAGGTATTAGTATAATAATTTTTATATACCCTCCAGAATTGTAAACGAAACAGAACACGCGTTTTTTCGTTTTCTTCTTGGTTTCTTCATTTCTCCATTGCCCTATCTTCCATTTTCGCCCTCCGTTGAAGCTTTCGTCCCCGACCGTTTGCGCCGCCGTCTTCCATTTGTTTTTGTCGCCGTTCGCCGTTCCCTTTCGCCGCCGTTCACCGTTCGTTCTCCTCCACCGTTACGGTAAATCCGCGACTGTTACGGCATTTTTATGGATTATTGTCTTAGTATTGCATTTTTCTGGATTAGATGATGTTAGTGCTACTTCTTTCTGAGTTATTGACTTGTTTTTGTTGATACCATTGATGAGCATTACTCTTTTAATATTGGCTTGAGTTTTGTATGCAAGGTGTTTGTTGAAATGCCACAATGAATTTTGAGCATTATAAATTAGTTTAGAATAATTTAGTCCATTACCAAAATTTTTGAGAGTATGCTTTAATAATTTAGAATAGTTTAAAATCATATTAATGCAATAGTTTAGAATAGTTTAGAATAATTTAGTCCATTTCCACCATTTTTGAGAGTATGATTTAATAGTTTAGAATAGTTTAAAATCATATTAATGAAATAGTTTAGAATAGTTTAGAATAATTTAGTCCATTTCCACCATTTATGAGAGTATGCTTTAATTTAGTCCATGTCATTTTGAGCATTATAAAATAGTTTAGAATAGTTTAAAATCATATTAATGAAAGTATGCTTTAATAGTAGAATAGTTTATTATAGTATATCTACTTTTTTTTTTAATATGATTTGTTTTGTTGGATTATATAGTTTTTTTGTTTTGGTTAATTATTAATATGATTTTAATAAAATGTATATATTGTCTGTTATAGGGGTTACCTGAGAAGAGCAAGGTTGTGATTGTTTCCAAGCATCCTACTGTACAACTTTCTTAGAAGTAGTGATTTCTTTACAGGTATTCTCTGTTTTTGCCTAACTTTCATAGTATGGATAAAAATTGGATGTCTGTTAATCGATTGTCAAAAGAGTACGAGAATGGGGTATCGAACTTCGTTAAGTTTGCTGTTGAACACGCCAAAGACCCCAGTAGGATCACATGTCCTTGCTTAGGTTGCTATTATGGACGTCGAATTGACGCGGTTCAGTTGGAATCTCATTTAATGAGACATGGAATTGATCGAAGTTACACATGTTGGACATTACACGGTGAGATAAGTAACGAGAATGTTGAACCCCAGAACAATACGACCTCTACTTCAAAGGACAATGGTAGGGATACATACGATTGTGATCGAGTCGAAGATATTGCAGAAGCACTTGAAGAAGATCTTAAAGATTGTCCAAAGATGTTTGAGAGGTTGGTAAGCGATGCAGAGAAGCCGTTGTATAAAGGTTGCACTACTTTCACAAGATTGTCTGCGGTATTAAAGTTGTACAACTTAAAGGCGGGTAATGGATGGTCGGATAAAAGTTTCACAGAGTTGTTAGCCCTACTTCAAGAGATGCTTCCGGAGGATAATGTTCTTCCCAATCGAACCTATGAAGCTAAAAAAATGTTATGCTCTATTGGTATGAGCTATGATAAGATACATGCTTGTCCAAATGATTGCATTTTGTTTCGAAATGAGTATGCATCATTAAACGAGTGTCCTAAATGCGGTGTATCTCGGTATAAGAAGAAGTTGTCACCAACAAAAGTCTTATGGTATTTTCCTATAATTCCGAGATTCAGACGCATGTTTCGTAGTGAAACAGATGCGAAACACCTTACTTGGCATGCAGATGATAGAATTATAGACGGGAAGTATCGACATCCGGCAGATTCACCACGGTGGATGAAAATTGATAATGATTATCCTGATTTTGGAGAAGAAGCTAGAAACCTTCGCTTGGCATTATCGACTGATGGAATGAATCCGCACGGTCTGCAAAGTATCTCCCATTCCACCTGGCCTGTAATTCTTATGATTTATAACCTACCTCCATGGCTATGTATGAAGCGTAAGTACATGATGTTATCTATGTTAATTTCTGGCCCTAAACAACCAGGAAACGACATAGACGTATACCTGACACCTTTAATCGAAGACTTAAAAAGTTTGTGGGAGAACGGTGTGGAGGTTTATGATGGATATAGGAAAGAAAGTTTTAATTTGAGGGCCATGTTGTTTGGCACAATTAATGATTTCCTAGCATACGGAAATCTATCGGGGTATAGCATTAAAGGTCAATGTGCGTGTCCTATCTGTGAAGAAAACACAGATTGGACGCGGTTGGAATTTGGTCAGAAGAATGTCTTTCTTGGTCATCGTAGATTCTTAAGTTCTAATCATCAGTACCGTGGGTGGAGACAAGAATTCAATGGAAATTCAGAACAACGTAGAGCATCACCTACATTGACCGACGATCAAATTTTTGCAAAGGTGAAAGATGTGAGTACTCAGTTTGGCAAGCCTTTTGCTCATACGCTTACCACGCGTGGGTGGAAGAAGAGGTCAATTTTGTTTGAGTTGCCGTATTGGAAGTCGTTGTATGTACGACATTTTCTTGATGTTATGCATATTGAAAAAAATGTATTTGAAAGTGTTATTGGTACGTTACTCAATATACAAGGAAAGTCTAAGGATGGCCTTAAAGCAAGAAAAGACTTGGTAGCAATGGGAATAAGAAATGAATTAGGACCCCAGAAGAAAGGAAATCGCACTTATCTACCACCTGCTGCATATACTTTGTCTAGAAAGGAGAAAAAGATAATGTGTAAGTTTCTTAGTGAAGTTAAAGTTCCAGAAGGATACTCTCCAGATATTAGAAGACTTGTTTCTATGAAAGACCTAAAGTTAAAGAGTTTAAAGACACATGATTGCCATGTTCTTATGGAACACTTTCTACCAATAGGTATACGTTCTATTTTGCCAGAAAAAGTGAGAGGCGCAATAACAAAATTGTGTGTTTTTTCCAGATCTATTTGTAGTAAGGTGATCGATCCTGCGATCTTACCAACATTGCAAAAAGATATAATTATTACTTTGTGTGAGCTTGAAATGTATTTTCCTCCGTCATTCTTTGACATAATGGTACATCTAGTTGTGCATCTCGTGAAAGAGACACAACTGTATGGACCTGTATATATGAGATGGATGTATCCAGTTGAACGTTATATGAAAATATTGAAAGGGTATATGAAAAACCGAAGTCGACCAGAGGGATGTATTGTTGAACGATACATTGTTGAAGAAGCTATTGAGTTTTGTACTGAATATTTGTCCAACGTTCAATCCATTGGCCTCCCAAAATCTGATGTTGTTGAAAAAGTAGTAGGTAAACAGTTAATTGGAAATAAAGTTGTGACAGTTTCAAGGGATGAACGGGATCAAGTGCATTTATATGTTCTGCACAATAACATTGAGGTTGAGCAGTACGTTAAATTGCACAAGGACGTTCTCCGAGGTTTAAATCTGAATAGAAATGAAAATTGGATAGTACGTGAGCACAATCGAAGTTTTATAACATGGTTCAAAGAGCATATTTATTCAAAGTTTTATTCTGATCCCGCTTCAATAACAGAAAGGTTGAGATGTTTAGCATATGGTCCAACTTTGCATGTGTTTTCTTATAGCGCATACGCAGTTAATGGATACACATTTTATACCAAGGAGCAAGATGATAAAAGTACAATGCAAAATAGTGGTGTCACTGTGCTTGCCGAATCAATGCACATTTCCTTGTATTTTGGGGGTAATCGAGCGCATTTAGGTGTTTGATTATGAGAAGTTTCAGATTCCTATCTTTGGATGCAAGTGGGTTGAAAGTAATAGTGGCATACGTATGGATAAGTCAGGTTTTTTGCAAGTGGATCTTAATAAGGTGGGGTACAAAGATGAGCCTTTTATTCTAGCCACGCAAGCTAAACAAGTGTTCTATGTCACTGATCCGAAAAGTACGAAATGGTCTATAGTTCTTTTTTCCAACAAAGTAATCAACGATAACATTGGAGAAAAGGGGAAGGTTGATGTTGAGAATGAATCTTATGTTAGGGATGATCCAGATGAGAATATTATAGCAGACGAATCATATATTAGAAATGATCATAGCGAGGGAATTTGGATCAATCCATCCGTCCGTGTTGTTAAGAGACAAGTAAAGCACCTTCGAACTAAAAAAAGAAAAAGATGTTAAAGGTACTTGTAAAATTACATATTGTCTCATTCAATAAAATAACATATTATTTCTTATTTATACGTTTCTTATGTGTGTGTGTATATATATATATATATATATATATATATATATATATATATATATATATATATATATATATATATATATATATATATATATATATATATATATATATATATATATATATATATATATATATATATATATATATATATATATATATATATATATATTTCTTATTTACA